AATGTTACGCCCCTCACCATACTGTGATGCTGTGTCCCGGCACGACGAGACAAAAACATTAAAACCCATTATAATGACTTATACTGTCTTTTTACGTGTTGCGTTGGATCGCGCCGCATAAACATAAAACCATGTCTACATTTGTGATCGGAGAAACGACAAACAAGTGCTACTCTACCCAAGAGCTTGCAACACTCCAAAGAGAAAGGAAACATTGAAATCGCATCATATGACCCCTTTAATATAAGACATCTTTATGAAGATTCTGGTCTTATTAATGCTGTTTTTTGAGATGGTGTTCAGGCAGGTGAAATGTGGAAGATGCAGGTGTTGAACGAGGTTCAGAGATCAGCAGGCGTCTGTATGTGTCACTTCTGCTCTCTAATAGAAATGTGTCCGTGATAACAGCGTCTCGCGTTCTGTGCCAAGACCAGGAGCGTTCCAGTAAAAATCAGCTCCGCAAACATCTCCCCCTCAGAAACACAGCATGACACATGCCAGACAGGTTCTCTCACAGAAAGTCAACATGAACTGCTGTTTGCAAGCCATTTCTCTCTGTAATGTGACAGATGTTTGACTATTACATTATTTTCTAGGCAAAAAGTCAAGTGAAATGTTTCAAAGGAGGAGTTTTAACATAACATAACATAACAACATAACATAACATAACGCTAAAGCTTAAGACAGACAGACAGACAGACATACAGACAGACAGACAGACAGACATTTTGAATAATATGCACTGATGAATTGTTCACTTTAAGACCAGTAACATGCATTGAGACAGTAAACACAGTCATTTGGATGTCATGTTGAGGTTGTCTGAGAGTTGCTCACCTATCAGCGAGCCGTTGAGGAAGAGCGCGACGCCCAGCAGGACGCCAACACACAGCGCCAGGATGAAGGGCCGTCTGCGGCCCCAGCGCAGCGTGCAACGGTCACTGGCCGAGCCGATCAGAGGCGTGAAGATCAGACCCAGGATGGGGCTCAGGAACCATGTCAGGCTGTAATATTGCTCTGGAAGACCTGAGAACCGCACACACACACGGGTATGATGTCACTTCCTGCACACGTCTTCAGTCAAAGTGCTGTTCCAAAAGCAGTTTGGGGTTGCATTACATACATTCATCGCTTTCATAAACGAGCATTAACAGTAATATGATTAAAGACCCATTACAGACCCATTAAAACCCATTTACAAAACCAGTTTAATCATTAAAAATGTAAAAAAAAAAAACCTGATACTCAGTCTAAGCAGATCAGTGATGATAATACCAATGCTATCGCTAACATTATCTGATATTCAACATCCTCATCAAAATATCACATCTCTACTTCACTGAAAAAAAACTTATTTAGGCCTAAATTTAAGATTTATGTGTTTGAATCTCACACACACACACAAAAAGTATTTATTAAAACCATAAATATTTAGGGGGAAAAAAGTAAAAAAAAAAAAAATCAGCCTTCATTTAAGATTTATATGTTTGAATTATTTGAAAAATATTATATTTATTATTATATTTGAAAAAGATAAATATTTATAAAAAAGAAAGTATTTTGAAAAAATATTTAGGCCTAAATTGAAGAATTCTGTATTTTAATTTCACTCAAATTTCTTTTAGAAAAATATAGAAATGGAATTTTATTTTTTTAAAACACACCTAAATTCAAGATTTATCTATTGCATATTTGTCAATCATACGTAAACAGATTTTCTGTAATAGAACTAATAAACTGAATGTGTTTTAAATACACAATAATCAGGTTTATATATGTAACATTCAGAAATCCAATTCGTTTCAGCTAGTCATATTTTAACCATGTTCATACATTTACCTTAAAATGACCAGATTTATACTGATTCAGAGATATTTGAATAAATGCATTTTGAAAATATGATTATTTAAATCAAATCAAATAGATGAAAAATAGCTGTAACTATATACCATTATTTTATTTTATTTTTTTGAGTGCAGAAATCTGACCTGTTTAATAGATGCATGTATGACTGACAAACATGCATTAAATTAACCTTATTAGTTAAAGTTAAAACTTATATTAATCCAAATGGATGGAAATGTTATATGCAATTCAAGCACATAAATCTAGGCCTAAGTATTTTTGAGTGTTTTTATCTAGCTCATAGTTGCCCCTGATTGCAGTAGGTTTTGGTGTTCAAGTTTCATGTCAGGACGGCTGACGTCTGTCACAGCTGGCACTCAAAAATATGATCTTATGACCGGATTCAATAAGAAAATAGGATCAGACTACAAAGCAGATTGTTTGTGAGAGTAACAGGCTTTAAATGTTATTGAAATAACTCACTCTCACATGATTCGAATCATAAATTAGGCTGCTGTGGAAATCATTATTGGGTAAGTATTCCTCTAAAAGCCTGGCAAACGTCCAGCTTACCAATACACACTACACCTTCATTGTTCCCGGCTCAGAGTCTGATCTACACACACTTTCCCTACATCAGCTGCTGTATGATGATTCAGGAAGAAACCCTGAAACGTTCACGGTCAGGAACAAAACACTTCACAACAACAACAACAAACTTCAAAGTGCACTGGAAAAAATCTCTTCTGTAAGAGGTTCCTCTGTTTTTATTTTAGTTAGATGTATCATAACATGAGCTTACGTTGAATTAATTTGACTGGAAACACCCCATCAAATTTTTCCGCTTACGAATTTATAGAAATAATTTTATTCAAGTGAAGTACTTGGCAAAAGGATGTTATTTTGTTTTTTCCCGCTAGAAACAGAGTGTAGAGTAGAGTAGAGTAGAGTTAAGTAAAGAAAAGTAAAATAAAATAAAATAAAAAAATATATATTTAGGCAAGTCCTCACAGAAAAGATGAGTAAAAGAAAAAATAAATTATAGAAAAACAAACAAACAAAATAGAAAAAAAAAAAAAAAAAAATTAATAAAACAAAAATATTCAGTACTCATAGAAAATGAGTAAAAGAAAATAAATTCTATAAAAATAAAAAAATAAAAGAATAAATAAAATGGAAAATAAAATAAACTATAAATGAAAAATATTACTCATCATCATAACTGCATCAGAACGCCTCATGCAGACGACACTGATCATGTGGAAATTGGCATTGCAACAATAATTCCCACACAGACAGGCAGAAGACTCTCACAGGAATCAGCTCTATCTTTAGTATGTGTGTGTGTGTGTCCAGAGCTATAATAGGATTATCACACACACACACACACACACACACACAGGTCAGCGGTCACACAGAGACTGTCCGGTCTGTTACGTGAAGCGTTGAGGAGTCGGGTTCGGCGCTGACATACAGGACACCAGAGAACATTCCTGAAGTTACGCATGAGACGTCCTGATCAGCCGTTCAGACCGAGACCAAAGACTCGAACGCACACACAACACAACACATGTACTTGAGGCAAAGTCACATTACTCAGCTGGAATGAATCGCTTTGACATGTTAACTAGGAGTTAACCAGGTAACTTGGCAAGATTCCAGTAAGACAAATAAAAAAATATATTAAAAATAAATAAAATGAAAGATTCAGTGCTTACAGAAAACACAAATAAAAGAAAAATAAATGATATCAAATTTATAAATTGTATACAATTATTTAATAATGAATAATAATGTTATTATTTATAATGAATTATTATTTATATAAATTTATAAATTATATACATTTACTTAATAATTTATAAAATAAATAAATAATAAAAAATAAATAAAATAAAAATAAATAAACACAAATAAATAATAAAATAAAAGCTTGTCATAACATTTAAAGCATCATAATAATATTAAAACCGTATCACTCACTATTATCAAATAATATTTATTAAAATATTTTAGTGTGAACAGGACACTACTATGAAAAATAAATATAAAAATAATATACAGTGTATTTATAATATAAATAATATATGCAAAATAATATAATACGTGCAATATATATAAATAAACAAATATATTTATTTAAAATTAATAAATATATATTAAATAAGATTTCTTTATATATTTAAATATTTATTTTTAATTATTTGAAAAGGAATTATGGTGAAATTACATTATAAATAGAATTTTGTATATATGTAAATATTTATCTTTAAAGATTTAAAAAAGAATTATGAGGAAATTGCATTATAAATACAAAAATAATACTAAAATAATAACCATATAACATGTACACCCATATAAAATGTATGAATATCTTCAGAATATTATTATAGATAAATATTTAAATAATAAATATATATTATAACATTACATTATAAATAAAAATAAAATCAATATTTAAATAAACATACATATGTATATATTAATATAAAATGTATAAATATATTTATAACTAATATGAATTATTAATACATGTTTATATAAGAAACATAAGAACATAATAAATGTTAAAATTACGTAATAAAATAAATGTAAAAAATAATAAACATTTATTATAAATAATAATAAATATAAAATGAAAGGATGATTGTAATATGACCATATTATTAAATAACATTAACTGTGCACAGTACACATACTGCATACTACTTGTTTTCAAAAGTAGCTGCAAGTATGTCACTCTGAAGTTTTCCATTGGACAAATACAAAAAAAAAAAAAAAAAAAAAAAAAAATTCTCACAATTCTTCGTAGAAAAACAAAAAAGAACGACTATAAAGTCCTAACTGTTCTCACGGTTGCTGTCAGAAATCAGCTGGAATAGAGCCACTGCACCTGCTGGTCAAAAGTGTGACGTCCCATTACAGGACCCAAAAAAACCTCACGATCCTCTGGGAAACACGCAGACTAGAGTCCTGAGAAGAGAGCCTTATCAGAGTCAGGACCGGATCATCGGAAAACCGGGCCGCAGTGCCACCAGTCCACTTCCTCTTCCTCCGGTTTATTGAGGTGTTTTTATATATTTAGTCTTTGCAGTTAAACACACAAACACTGAGACACTGAGGCCCAAACAAAAGATCTGAATCAGATGGTAAGCAAATTATTTGTTCCTTGAAAAATATGCGGAGTAAACATGCAAACAGGAAGCTTGAGAGATTTCAGTAAATAATCACAGGAGACTTTGTGTTTCCCACCAGGTCAAAAATGGTGAACAATACTGAGAGCAGAATGAGTCAAACCAGAGGAAGCATTTTCTAGAAGACAGAAACACACAAATCTAAAGCTCAGAGAGAGAAACAAACCAACAAGAACCAGCATCCAAAACAACACACTCTCGGGAACATGGTACCTGGTTTTTGGAGGTCAAGGGTCAAAACCAGGTATTAATACATTTATAATTAATATTAATTATTAATAAATATTCAGAAAAACATAATAAAATTACGTTATAAATAAAAAATGAAATAAAACAGTCAACATACATGTAAACATATATAATATGAAATTAATATATTAATATATGATTTATGAATAAATATTTAACTAAGATATATACAGTATATACTGTATATATAATAGTTACATTATAAATAAAAAAAAATAATGTAATAAACACATCTATAATATAAAATGTAAAAATACACTTAGAATTAATATTAATTATTAATACGTTTTTAACAAAAATACAATTACATTATAAATGATTATATTGTAAATATACATTATAGATCATTATAAATAAAATTACATTATAAATAAAAATTTAAATATCACAATAAACATACAGTATATGTACGTATGTTAATAACATGTATTTATATTAATAACATTTAATGATAAATATTTAAATAAAAAATATGTATGATTAAAATACATTATAAATAAATTTAATAAATATTAAAATAAACATGCAAATAATATATAAAGAATACTAATAAGAAGAAATATATAATAACTAATATTAATTATTAATAATATTATATTAATGTTTAGATTAATTTATTTTAAATAAGAAATATATGATACAATTACATAATAAAAAATAAAATTACAATAATAAACATTATATTTATTATATAATAAATATTTCAACAATGAACTAACTATACACAGTATGTTCTAG